TAATTACATTGAATTTTTTTTGTTTCTACAGAATTGCAACGCCCTTAAGAGATATACCCCCCCCCCTCCCCGTTGTGACAACTCGAATATCTTTAACCGTGTTACGTCACAAACCATCCATAAAACAAATTAATCATTTTATTTATAATAATAATAATAATAATAATGATAGTAATAACCTTAGGGCTCCTGCCTTCAGAACGACAACTTTACAAAAAAAAAAATATTTGCGACCGGTTTTCGTATTGTTAAGTAATGAGCCGTAAGTTGACTGATAATGGCCGACAGGTGAATATCGTTCAACCTTTTTTTTTCCTCCCCCCTTCCCCTCATTTTATTTCCTTTCGAGGGGGGGTAAATTACGCGGCGTATAATCACGCACGTGGTAAAAAGAAAAAATTTTTTTTTCAAATGATACGTTTTTAAAAATTTCGTAACGATCGATAATTCCATAGAGAGAGAGAGAGATAGTATTAATTAAAACATTTCTAAACCTTTTTTCAAAACTCCCCATTTACGAAATCCTTATTAATAATAATAATTTGTATTATGACGTCACAATTATTAAAACACTAAAACAAAATTTCCCCTGCAGGAAAAAGTAGACATTTTTCAAAACTTATTTCAACGGTCGCGAACGGTCGTTTAAAAAAAAAAGTAAATAGAAAATTTATGAGATTCCGATCGATATATCGATCGATAAATCGATCCCAAATATCCGTCGTCTGCATGTCGGGTTAAATTAATACCGGAAGCGGGCCATGAGCCTACAATACACACCCGAAAATATTTCCCGTGACGTAAATATCTTTTTTTCGATTAAATAAAATTATTTCCGTGTAAAAATTTAAAAAAAAAAAAAAGCGCGGGAAAACCATTTTAAAAATTTAAATTTAAATTCAAATAAAACAAGAAACACACGGACGACGATAAAATAATGACGTCAATAAAAACCGTTGAAAAAAAAAAAAAAATTTTTTTTTTTTCTTTTTTTCTCTGGCATTTTCTTTCGATTTGAAAAAAAATTGACGTGACGTGACGTAACTCTCGATTCGTAAACGATTCCTCGATATCCCCTCGAGTGTAATAATATATATCCCTCGAAGGGATTTTATTTATTTTTATTTATGTAATAAATAAAAATTTTAAATAATTAACTATTTTGGTTTAGTAACGACGACGTTGCAAAAATCAACCCCTGGCGAATTAAACAAAAATTATTTTAAACCCTTTCCCCTCCCACTCCCCCTACCCCCAATCAAACGTAAAAGATGACATGTAATATACGAGAGAGAAAGAGATAGAAAGAGAGTAAGAGAGAGAGAGAGAGAGAATATTGTCCTGTCACACATATCGTTTAATAGTAAAATAACTTCTCACCTTATGAGAAAATCCCTTTTGGTACTCGAAGAAGAAAAATTCTTCCCGGACAAAACCAGGTACCTGGAACTTCTTTCATATAAAAATTTCTTCCAGTTTTCATCATCTAATAATAATAATAATATTAATTTATTATATTTTTCATTTTATCAATATTAATTACGGGTAATAATAATAATAATACCATTTTTTCTTTATTACGAATTCGTTAGGGACACCTCAACACGGCAAATTTCTTCAATTTTTTCGTTTCGAGTATAATAAAATGTAGGACGTCAGTCAATCGTCGTATACATTTTCTTTCTCTCTCTCTCTCTCTCTCTCTCTGATTACTTTTCGTCATCACTGTTTTTCAAATCGTTTAATTATAATTAAAAAACCGAAAAAACAGAACAGAAATTTTCATAACATTCATTCATATATACTACCATAATTTTGAATCCTTTATATACACCTAATACAATTTTTTCTTTTTCTTTTTTCTTTATTTTCAGTTTAATTATATGAGACCCTGATGACGATGACGTTCATTTTATTTATTTAAATAACTCATCATCATTATTATTATTATCATCATCAAAAAATTGTAATTTTTTTTAATTGCCGTCCGTTTACGTACATACAAACACTTTATTACCTAAAATAAAAATAAAATAAATTTTTTTTTTTGGTAATGCAAAAAATAAATAAATAAAAATGATGGTGTTTCAAGGTACCATTTCCGCAAACTTGTCTTCATATAATAATAATGATAATATTTTCATTATTATTAAAAATTTCCTTTTTTCCCCAGCCTTTTCTTGCTAAAAAAAAATCTTAATATTTATCAATATATACATACATATATTTTTATTTATTTAAATATAATAATAATAATAATAATAATAATAATACCTTTTCGTGAGATTATTTATAAAAATTTATAAATATTTTCGAAATTTAATGTTTCTATGTTACAGGAAAAAAAAAAAAAAAAAAAAAAAAAAAACAAAACGATCGATTTGTTTTCGTTCATTCAACTTTTGACAAACTACCATATTCCTTTCTTTTTAACGGGATCCTGGAGGGTCCTCCGACATCCCGATTTGGCGGCGAAGTTCTTGACGTTCGTTCAATTCGTTCATGCGGGTAACAAATCAAAATCGTCGCTCACGTGAACCATGGGCACGTGATTATCGTGTATGACGGGTTTGGATTTGAATTCGCATATTCCCAATTCTTTCATTTTCCATTCCCAATCCATTTTTTGCACGGCGTGAAGGGATTCCGCTTCGTTATGGTGTCTCAGTAACATTGATTCCTGTCGGGGAAGGGGGAAAATCAGGGAAAGTGAACAAAATTTTTCCGATCGCACTTTTTTTTTTCTTTTCTTTTCTTTTCTTTTACCTTAATCTTTTCCCACTTGTCGTCAACGTCTTGCAACCAACTGAGAAAAAGTCTTCCGTTATACCTAGATCTCGCATTTCGATCTTTTTCCTCTTGTTCCGGCGTTATGAGATTGTAAACCTCTTCGTCTTTGAGAATCGTGCAAGCGGAAAAGGGTAACGATTGATTTGCGAGAGCTCTCGCCGCTCTTCCGTGTACTCTTAAAATTTCCTGCTCGACGGACAATACCAATTTTTCTTTTTCTATCACGTGCTGGAAAACAAAATATGAAATTATCAAAAAAAAACTTAATTCGACAAAAACCTCCGCAGCACTAGCAACGTTTCGAATACCTGAAGTCTCAGCCTGTGCCTTTCTTTTTCTTGCTCCCCGAATAAATCTTTCATGGGTGAGGAGATATTTTGAGGAAGTGGAGAACTGGGAATTTGTCTGGTCGATGCATTACTCGCTAAAACGTAAGTGCACCTGTTCATGAGATAATCCTTGAAACCCTGAGGAGGTTTGGGTTGAACGGGAAACAATCCTTTTCTTCGCCTATCAATCTGTAAAAAAAAAATAAATTTTTGAAAACATTCGAAATTTAAATTTCCCACATTTGATTCCATTCGATGATGGTTGACCTGTTTTCTGATATCCAAAAACAGTTGGTAGCAATTTTTTACGGGTTGGTCGTGAGGATGGACTTCGGTGGATGCTGTCGCGGATTCGCATCTTTCGGTCGTCACTTGCGGCGGAGGCGGCTCCTTAACTTCTTTGTTGTGTTTTAATTTTCTTTTACGGGGATGAAGTTCAACGGGAGCCGGCGCGGCACTGTTTGAAGAGGGTGTCGAAGAATTTTCCGAATTAGTATCGGAAACTTTATCTTCCGAATTCGAAGTCGATGTTGTATTGGTTGTATTCGAACCGTTTTTATTTGGCAAACTTGTATTTGGCCTAAACAAAAAAATTTTTAAAGTGTAAATATTCATTTTTTAAAATAATACAACTATCATTATTATTATTATTATTATTATAATCATACTTAAAGGATGAAGAATTTAAATTAGTCGAATTTTCCGTCGGATTTGAAACTCCAGTCACGGAAATGGAACTGTTGGAATCTTGAGGCAAAGGAGATGTTCTATTCTGTGACGGTGGAGAAAGATTATCGTTTGACGAAGGCGTAGAAGTGCTAAAAACGCAAATAATTTTTTTTTTTTAATGACGCAGCGACGTAGAAAAACATTTCTTTTTTTTTTTTTTTTTTTACAATGTTGTCTAACCTGTTGGAAACGTTTGAATTGTTAGTTGCTGTGGCAGAAGGTCCGGAATTAGAGGTAGAACCCTGTCCGTTTCCATTGTTGTTCCTCGCGGTGGATTCCTGAGTCCGTGAATCTCCACTTCCGCCAGGTCCGGAACGATGAGAACTTCGCAAAACGCGTTGGTGATGCAGCGAATTCTTTTGATCTTCCGCCGAAAGCATGCCAATGGCCGGATCTTTTTTTTCTTCAGATTTAAACGAGTCCGAGGGACTGGCACTGCGAGATCTTTGCCCATCCTTTTCACCATCACTATTGTTTGTCGATACGACGTATGGAAGAGCTTGATGATGTCTCGACGTGCTGTTTTTACCATTTCTGTTACCCTGTTCCGGTTCGTTGGCAGTCTGTTGCGGAATGACAATTTTCAACGGAGGTACTTTGGGTCCTTGATCCATTTTTTCCCCGTCAGAACTAGCTTTACCATCTTCCGAGTCTTCGACTTTGACTCCGACTCCTCCGGGTCCATTATTACTTGAAACGACAGTTCCAGGTTTTGGAGAACTCGGACTTTTACGATCGGAATTCACATTGGATGACGGGCTATTTAAAACTCCTTTCGACGCGTTACCCCCACTGTTTTTACCCATCACGTGAACACCCGCTTTACTCCCTTTTTCCGAATTGTTACTAACATTTCTGACAGTTTGAACTCTTCCAGAAGAACCAATAGGCTTTGTCGAACCTCCAACCTCTTTCCCATCGCTTTCCTTTTCCTTTCTTTTTTTCTTTTTATTATCATCTTCGACATCATCATTATTACTCACTTCTGATAAAGGTCTTTTAGTTGCGACAGAATCAGTTTCATTACCCCCAGACACATCTCCCGTTTTGTCACTTTTCGAATCAGAATTATTTTTTCCATCCGCACCTGGTGATGTACTATTCCCTCTCACAGGAGTTGCTTCTTTGCTACTTTTGAATTCGTAAACATCCTCCTTGCTGTTTTTATCATCCATTTTAATTAATTTTTGACTTTTATTTTCACCATTAACTTTAATATCTTCTAGTCTAAGTTTTCCTGATTTTTTCCTTAAAGTGTGCAGCCTCAATGTAACCCTAGGACTCCTTTCGACTAAAAAAAGTAAGAATTATAAAATTGTACATGACTTCTCGAATAAAGAAATTAACTTACAATTGTACTCTAATGCAAACTTATTTTAAACCATTTTGCTCTCGACATCCTAACCGGTTCCATGTTTCATTTTGTAAAAATTTCCTGATATAAAAGCTCAAGAAATTACTCTAATACATATATAAAGAAATGAAAGGCACTTTTAACAAATTGTTTACATTCAGAGTATAAAACAAATAAAATTCCTTAAAAATCTCAATTTAATAAATATACATGTACATAAATAACAATATGTATCGAATAAATTCAAATTCGAAAAAAGACAAAAACTTGTCACATAACCTTACTTTGTTACAAAACATCAAATTAAAATCCCTTAATACGTATTTAAGTTACGCAAATGAATCGGATTTAATTCGGAAACGCATAGTAAACCTAATTGTATTATGGAAATGACGAGCGAAATGCTTTTATTCTGATGAAAGATTCGAGTTTTGTACTTTTTTAAACGAAAAAAAAAAAAAAAAAAGAAGGTAAAAAATCTTTTTTGCACGATGAAGGATAAAAAATGTTTTAAAAAAATCAAACGAAATATCAAACTCTAATCGTACGAAATACTCACCTGTACTTACACTATTGTATAAAACCTAGAGAAATTTTACGAAATATAACAACAATGAAATTTTTTTTTTTTTTTTTTCCCGATAGAAAAAAAAAAAAACAACAACACTCTTTAAATATAATAAATAATAACTCGCTAATAACGACAAAAAAACATGCAGAATACAAAAAAAAAAAAAAAAAAAAAAAAATTAATAATACAACCAACAACCGGAATCAACTACATTTCCTCACCTTTGATACGTGATGGTGAGCAACGCCTCTCAGAGATGGCAGTCAAATCGCCTTCATTCGAATTGTCTTCTAATATAACGTCTAATTTGTTAACTAAATCGTTACCTGTAGAAAAAAAAAAGTTTCTTTGATTTTTTCAATAAAAAATACGGTTACGAATTAGATATTTAATCTAGTACTAAACTAAAATTTAATATTAGCACAAACATAAAAATGTAACAAAACAAAAAATCTTAAAATTTTCCTCGAGTGCTCATGGGGGAAAAAAAAGGTTCCTTTGGTGAATGAAAATTAAAATTTTAAAAATAAACCATGTGAATTTAATTTAAATGGGGGGGGGGAGAGGAAGAAATAAAACAATGAATTCTTACCGTTATCTGTATTTGTTAATAAAAATGGTATTATGCCAGGAGGAGCAACATCACTAGGAGTTTTTCCACCTTTGTTTCTAAAGTGAACATCAGCTCCACTCTTCAATAGAAGTCGAACCAACTGAAACAAAATTACAATTTAAATCAACAAATTATTATTATTATTATTATTATTCATTTTGCAAACATCCTCTAAAAACTATAGAAAAATGACTTTTTGCAAAAAAGAAAAGAAAAAATGATTCATGCCGACAGAGACTAAAAGAAATCGATTTCTTAAATAATAAATTTGCAATTTAACAACAACAACAACAACAACTATTACTCGTGTCAATAATTTTATTTTCTTATTTTATACTACTACTACTACTACTAAAAAAGAAAAAAAAACTTAAAAATAATTTTAAAATGATACCTAAAAAAAAATCTTCGAATTCAATTCAAGTGCATTTAAATCATCTCGAAACCATATTTCTTACCTTTCCATAAACATTCACTCAAAAAATTTCTATTTTTGTAACATCACAATCGACTAAATAAAAATTTTGATTTAACAAAATATATATACATATGTATATATTCATGCATATAATAATAATAATAATAATAATAATAAAATTTAAATCCATCGAACAATTAATCGATTTGATTTAATTTCTATGTGAAAAAAAAAATTAAATTAAATTAAATCGGAACAAACAAACGACAGAGAGCAAAATAACAACAGGAACTTTCAATTGAAGTTTATATGATAATAAACAACAACATGTTGTCACATACTTTGGAATGTCCATTTATGGCTGCATCGTGTAAAGGAGTGTCATCATCGAATCCAGTGGCATTAACAGATGCCCCAGCCTGTACGAGAGCTAAAGCGACTTCGTACCATCCATGATTGCAGGCCTCGTGAAGAGGTGTCCACCCTTCAAAATGAATTTGTCCACATCAAAAATATCGCGTGTTTATAAAAAAGGGTTAAATAAATACAAAAAAAAAAAATAATAATAATAAATCAAGGCAATAAATAAGATGCAAAACAAAATTATATAACACCACTTTCGAATGTTTTTTAGACGAATTAAATATTAATTAATTATTTATGGAAGTAAAAAAAATAGTTTTTGAGTTTTCCTTGCACCAAATACATTGCAATTTTCTTTTTTTGTTTTTTTTAATAAATGAAAACCTCACCTGCAAAATCAGCCACATTCGGATCTGCACCCTCTTCCAACAACTTAATAACCAAATCTTTATCTCCTTTTATCGCTGCTTTGTGCAATGGAGTTTCTCCACGTCCATTACAACTTTTAGATCTTGTACGATTATGTAATGAGTCTTTCATGTTTTTAGAATTATCTGCGATAAATAGAAAATGAAACAGAAAATTAATTTTGAAACCAAAATTTTTTTTTTTTAAATGAAATGAAACATTTTTTTAAAAATTAATATGAACTCACCTCCGCTACCATCACAAGTTTCTAATTGTCGTACTAATTTCATTTGTTGTCTTTCTGACATGGGAATTATTGACATATGGTAGTTTTTAGGAGATCTTCCAGTACTTCCAGGCATTACAAAGCATTAATCTAAATTTGATTTTAAAAAAATAATAATAATAATGATTGAAACATTACAATTTATTATTGCAAAATGATTAAAAAATTATAATTGATGATAAAATATAAAATCATTTACTCGATAAATTATTAACATAAAATTTAAAAAAAAAAGTATAATATGAATAAAAACATGAAGAAAAAGGGCATTAATTAAAACTGAATATTGCAATACTTTTCAATTGTATTAATTTAACATATTTAAAAAAGTTTTTATGAAAAATTAAATTCAATTAAAATTTCCTTATAAAAAAAAAAAAAAATTTCAAATTAATCAATGAAACTTGTAAAAGGATAAGTTAAAACATTTTTTATTAAACTTATACATAGCATATATTCAATAAAATTATAATAATCTGTTGAAATATTTATATGTGGATTAAAATAAAATAAAATAATATATTAAAAATAATAACTTTCAAATATTAACAAGTTAGTAGCATCCATATGAAAACCATCCATACGTGAATGAATAATACAAATGCGAATGAAATATACTCGGCGACAAGTAAAAAAATTAATTAAAATACGATTTGATAAATAAATTAAACGTTATTAAAACGAAATAAAAGTATTTAAACAATTTTTAAAGCGTGTAAAACAATATTAATACTCTAACGTGGTGAGGTTATGTTATCAATATGTAATATTATAACGAGTTTTTGTGTGATACGACGCATATAAATAATGAATGGTAATAATAAATAAACTCACCTTTCGATCGATTAAAATTTTAAACACGGTCGGATAATAATTAAAAACGAAAAAAACATAATCGATACGCATTTCCGTTTTCACGCGCGAACTTGTATAAAATTGTGATGGCGGAATTTCAATGATATGGATATTGTAGATGGCAGCACCTACGTTTAATAATAACAAACTATTTCGATCAATGAATTTATATAATTTGATTCCATTTTTAAATAATTATCTTTTTTCTTTTTTACCTTTCCCATATATCGTTGAAAATATTTACTCGACGTCTTTTTTCACAAATATACACAAAATTTTACAAA